GTTCTTCATCATGCACCAAATGAAGTCCATATTATCTAGCCCAGCATAAAGACCCCTCCCAGTCTTTCCCCAACCCACCTTTCTTACATTCCTATTCCTATTAAACCTCCCATGGTCCAACCTCTGCTCCTAGCTGCAACTGCACATAGCACTCCTGGTTCCCAAAGCACTCCTCATTCTTGCAGTGATCATCTTCAATTCCTCCCTCTATATCCTTCAAGACTAAACAATGCTCACCCACTCTAAGAAGTCCCTAACAATTTCTCCAAGAAGCTCCTTTGAAGCCGGGCTCAGTGGCTCAGCCTGTAATCCCGTGCCTTTGGGAGGCCGAGGTGAGTGGACTGCCTGAGCCCATGGGTTTGAGACCTGCCTGGGCAACTTGGCGAGACCTCATCTCTACAATAAATAAAAAAATCAGCCAGGCGTGGTAGCACGCGCCTGTAGTTCCAGCTACTTTGAAGGCTGAGGCAGAAGGATCGCCAGAGCCCAGCAGGTTGCAGCTGTGGTGGCCGGGAGCGGCCACTGCACTCCAGTATGGGCGACAGAGTGAGACTCCAACTCAAAAAAAAAAAAAAAAAAAACAAAGCCAGGCTCGGTGGCTCAGCCTGTAATCCCGCACCTTTGGGAGGCTCAGGTGAGTGGATTGCCTGAGCCCACGGGTTCGAGACCCGCCTGGGCAGCAAGACCTCATCTCTACAATAAATCAAAAAATCAGCCGGGCGTAGTAGCGCATGCCTGTAATTCCAGCTACTTGGAAGGCTGAGGTGGAAGGATCACCGGAGCCCAGCAGGTCGAGGCTGCGGTAGCCAGGAGCGGCCACTGCACTCCAGTCTGGGCGACAGAGTGAGACTCCAACTCAAAAAAAAAAAAGAAGCTCCTTTGGTTAATTTTGATACACTATTAGGAAACATATCTCTTTGAGCCATTTACATGTCTTCCCCCTTAGACTGTGAGCTCTGCCATCTTCCCCATAAGCCTAGCAAAGTGCTCCATAAATTAGCATCCAAACTCCTCAGTCTGGCATATAAACCCATTCCCAATACTATTGATTGATTGATTGCTGTGTGCACAGCCTTGATCTAAGCACTTTTGAGTATGGCCTCATATGATCCTTGTGATAGACTTTTCAGAAAAGAACTACTACCATCTTACAGATAAGAAAACTACCTGGGCTCGGTGGCTCAGCCTGTAATCCCGTGCCTTGGGAGGCTGAGGTGAGTGGATTGCCTGAGCCCGTGGGTTCGAGACCTGCCTGGGCAACTTGGTGAGACCTCATCTCTACAATAAATCAAAAAATCAGCCGGGTGTGGTAGCATCTGCCTGTAGTTCCAGCTACGTGGAAGGCTACGACGGAAGAATTGCTGGAGCCCAGCAGGTCAAGGCTGCGGTGGCTGGGAGCGGCCACTGCACTCCAGTCTAGGCAACAGAGTGAGACTCCAACTCAAAAAAAAAAGAAAGAAAAGAAAACTGAAGTTCAGAAAGGTAAATGACTTGCCCAAGGTCACAATGCTAGTATGCTAAAATTTGGGCCCATCTAATGCCGTATCAGTGATCTTGACAGTTATATTGTTGTGCCTCCTAGTCTTGCAAGCATCTCATCTGGTGATGCCATCAATTCCCTGGTTGATCCTAAAATTTAAAGAACAGAATCTACAGTTTATGGGGCTCTAGGGTCACAAAGTATCCTCCCTCGCCACCTTATCAGAGCCTCCTAAGGTAAGTAGTACTATTTCCTTTACCCCAATCTGTCACCAACATTTGAGAGAGCCAATAGTCTGTTCATGGTAAAAACCAGAGAACCCGGAGCTGGAATCTCCACTCCACTACTTTAAGGCTATGAGTCCTGGGATAAATCACTTCACTTTTCTCTTCGTCTGTTCCCTCACAAATCAAATAAGAATAACAGTACCTACCTCAGAGGTTCCAGCTGGCGTTAACAAAGGAGGCACTCCAACTGGGGAAGATGATGAAGATGACCTGAAACCGGGCTTTAGATGGTGCATGGGTGATCTTAAATAATGCTGGACATCTAAGGAGAAGGTTAATTCCTTTTTAATTTTTTTTTTTTTTTTGAGTTGGAGTCTCACTCTGTCGCCCAGGCTGGAGTGCAGTGGCATGCTCACGGCCACCCCAGCGTCGACCTCTGGCAATCCTTCCGCTTCAGCCTTCTAAGTAGCCGGAACTATAGGCATGGGCTACAACACTTGGCTAATTTTTTACTTATTGTAGAGACGAGGTCTCGCCAAGTTGCCTGGAATGGTCTTGAACCCACGGGCTCAGGCAATCCACTGCTTAGGCCTCCCAAAGTGCTGGGATTACAGGCTGAGCCACCGAGCCCAGACTTGTTTTTAATTCTTTTTTGAAGTTTCTAGTTGCTTCAAGAACATTTCAGTTTCCCTAGTTTGTTTTAATATCTATGAACACCAATGTTCCTTTGTAACAAAAGAACTGTCTCAGAACCTTAGATAAGGCCAGGCATGACAGTTCATGCCTGTAATCTCAGCACTTTGGGAGGCCAAGGCAGAAGGACTGCTTGAGGCTAGGTGTCTGAGACTGGCCTGGGCAACATATCGATACCCTGTCTCTAAAAAAAAGAATTTAAAAATTGGCCAAGCCTACTTGGAAGGCTGAGGCAGAAGGATCGCTGGAGCCCAGAAGGTAAGACACTGGGGTGACCGTGAGTGTGCGTGCCACTGCACTCCAACCTGGGCGAAGGAGTGAGACTCCAACTCAAAAACAAAACAAAACAAAAACAAAATTGGTCTAGCATATTGGTATGCTGTAGCCCCAGCTACTCAGGAGGATCCCTTGAACCCAGGAGTTCAAGTATGCAATGAGCTACAATCATGCTACTGCATTCCAGCCTTGGCAACAGAAAGATGGGGGGGAGGGAAACACAACAACACTAGACCTTAGACAACAAAATCTGGCCAGAATTTGTTAACAATTGTCTGCTTTCATTATATTAAATATATTAATTTTTGTCTTTATTATATGAAATCTTACCATCACCTTCTGCAAAAGTAAATTCAAGTTTGTTTGCTTGTTTGAGTCGGAGTTTCACTCTGTCACCCAGGCTGGAGTGCAGTGGCAGCTCAGCCAGACTTGGTGGGCTCAGATCATCCTTCCACCTCAGCCTTCCAAGTAGTCAGAACTACAGATGTGAGCCCCCATGCCCAGCTAATTTTTTTATTTATTGTAGAGATGAGGTCTTACCATGTTGTCCAGGCTCAGTAAATTCAAGTTTTAAAGGTTATTAGTTGAAAAACCTTCAGTAAATAAGAGGCGGGAGGATTGCTTGAGGCAAGACCAGTCTGGGCAACATAGTGTCTCTACAAAAAAATTAAAAATCTCCCAGGTGTGGTAGCCGCGGCTGTAGTCCAGCTACTCGAGAGGCTGAGGCGGGAGAATTACTTGAGCAGTGAACTATGATCGCGCCACTGCACGCCAGTCTGGGCGACAGAGCAAGACCCCGTCTTAAAACAAACAAACCAATAAACAAACCTTTAATAAACAGTAGCACAGGTGGTAAATTGATTTCGCAAAATCCACAAAGGTGGAACTCGAAAGGCTTAAGTGTGGAAAATCCTGACTTTGGCACACAGAAGAGAACAATAACTACTGTCACCGCCGCGATCTGACTACATCATGGCCATCAAAAGGGTACAACGTGGGGCCTGCGGATGCTGCAGCAGCTAAACGTATTTCAGAAGGTAACGGCGCAGCGCCTAGTCGAGAGCCCGGGGACCCCGCATATGAGTGGGGAAACGCCGGGTCGGACCCCAGCTCAGGGGCGTCCTTTGAAGGGTCAGCACCTCAGTCCAGCGTACCCGGCCACGGCCCGCACCCCAGCCCGGCCATCCGATACCCTCCTCACCGCACGATGCTGCGAACCAAGCCCGGTCCACGAGCCACTTCCTGCGGCGGGACTACTGCAGTCCGTACACCATAGAGAAGCGGAAAAAAGGAAAGAGCGGCAGGCCCGGAGGCCGGAAGCGAGCCGCGGAGGCCGGAAGCGAGCCGCGGAGGCCGGAAGCGAGCCGCGGAGGCCGGAAGCGAGCCGCGGAGGCCGGAAGCGAGCCGCGGAGGCCGGAAGCGAGCCGCGGAGGGCGGAAGCCCAAGCCTGAGGCCACCGACAGCTGCGGGCGCGCGGCCGGCAAGCGAGACAGTAGGGAGTCTAGCCGGCCAACACCCCCTATGCTGCCGTCTAAAACCAAGACACTGAGTCTGACTGCAAAGACTTTTATGTGCCTCTTTCACTTCCCCCAGGGTCCAAAGAAGTGTTCAGCAACAACTAGTGGGCGCTCCTCCAAACAGTTGTTGAATGAATGTGGTATGCCCAAGAGAACACAAAAGGATGGTACCGCCAAGATTTGGACCCTAAAGGATTTGCCTCCATAACCTGGTTTGTTTGTTTGTTTAATAGATTGGAAAATATATTTAGAAAGTATTAGAGAGACAGCAAGAGCGAAAAAAGATTCACCGCCTCAAGATTAGGGAGGGGGCCAAGCTCAAAGAGAAACATGGCCCCATAACCTGAATTCTTTACCAGTCATAGTCACCATAATATGTCACGCCAATGAAGGCAGCAAGTCAGGGAGGGTGTTAATCTCATTTTACATTTGTTTGAGAGGCAAATCACTAGTTTCCCCATTTTAAGCTCAATATTGCCCAGGACAGTCATAACTCTAATACAGTATTTGAAAGCTTCAAGTATTTCCTACCCCTGGTATGAATTGTGCAAACAGGGTCCAGGGTTTTTTGTGTAAATCCTATTTATCTAGCACTAGAAACACATGTCCTGAATCCCTAGTTGTACTGGAGCCTGTTCCTTCTACTGCCCTGGGGCTAGATCAAAGTTGCCCTACTGAGAGGAAGTGAGGAACACATACTCTGCAGGGGGCAGATCTGCTACATGGGACTGGGAAGCCCCCAGCTCTGCTCTGCCCTGATTTGGGCACTTGCTGAAGTTCCTTGCAGATAAAGAAAAGACACCATGGTTTATAGTAAATATGTAATTGGTTCTGTCAGCAACTCCAGCACAAGTTTTCCCAGAAGGGATGCAGAATCAAGCTACCCGAGGGTTCATGAGGTATGGGGGGTCATTGAAGAGGCACCCAGAGACACCCCACTCCACATACTTGGTGGCCCTGTAGAATGAGGGCTGGGCTGATGATGCCAAGTGGGGGAAGGGATCTGGGCTGTACTTCTGCCTGCAGGGAGGAGAGAGGGCAGGAGACTCCCTGCACAGAAGGACTAGAACTGCACATTCAAGTTCTCCACCCCAATATGTAGTAGGAAGAAACAGATGAGCCACTCTCCATCTGTCTAGTATTAAGAACCCCTCCCTCCCCAAGTGGACTTCTGTCACCTCAGTTCTGTCTTCTCAATTCTGTATTCTAAATTCTGCAGTTCATACCCAAGTTCTGAATTCTAAGTTCTACCTTCTGGGTTCCTGTTACATGCCTAGCTCCTGCCCCTAAATTCTTCCTGGTTTCCATCTCTTTTTCCTTGCTGATTTGAGGAGTTTTTGGCAGTTCCAGGCTTTTCCTCAGCCAGAGGGACTTGGCTCTAACAGTCCAGCAAGTGGGTGGCCCAGTGGAGACCAGGGAATTGCTGAAGGCCTGGCCTGGCCTGACCTCCTCTTTTCCCACCCCACTTCTAACCACTGGACATGCTACCTTTTATGCAACTAAGCTAAACTGAGGTTTTCCATGGCAACAATTGGGGAGTGATGGCCTTGAGATGAGGAATCTTGGGAAAGATATAAGAAGACCTATCCTTCATTTAGGGAAATTAGAAAACTATTTCTAGCAGGGAGTAGGAGACAGGTGGGAAAGGCGAAAAGGGTTTGAGCAGAGTTGGAAGTCCTCAGAACCTCGTCATCCTTCAGTTCCCACTTGTCTGAGCTGAGCACTCCCCTCAGAGTCCTCCCAGAGCCAAAACAAAACCAAGACAGCAGGACCAGAAACTCCTCTGTCCGGGGTTGCCCTGAAGGAGAGAAGGGGAAGGAGGTGGAGGTGTCGGCAGCATCATTGAAGAGGTGAGATCTTCAAGGGGATCATGATCCGAGACTCCATGTGTCGCACCAGAGGGACTGTGGAGAGAGAGGCAGAGGTCATGGAATGGGCTGAGGCAACCCAACAAGCTCTCCCACCCACCAACACACACATTGGCTTTTGATGGGGAAGAAGACCCCAGATGCTGAGGAAAATCCCCCATTGACCTCCTGGAAGGGCTCATGGAGAACACCAGGTTTCCCAAAGTATAAGATAAGACAGGAGTTAGGTGGTGATAATAGGTACATTTTCTTGAATTTTAATAGCTATAGATTTATTTTTCTTTTATGTGAAAAAAAATAACTAGCATAATAAAAAGTGATTGCACAGATATTATTGCTAAGGACAAAGCTAGGTTAAAAGCAAAGTAGGGGGCCAGGCAGGGTGGCTCAATGCCTGTAATCTCAATACTTTGAGATGAGACAGGAGGATCACTTGAGGGCAAGCTACTCCACATCATCTAGGCACGGACAGCCTGGCTATATTATCATTCCCTAGAGTACTCATCTAGGACTGCTTATATCCTAATGATAAAACAAGGCTAAAAATCTATTAATCCACCTATTAAGAGGGTTCCTACAATGCTCATGCCTGCAATCCCAGCATTTTGGGAGGCCAAAGCAGGAGGACTGCTTGAGCCCAGGGAGTTCAGGACCAACCTAGGCAACATAGCAAGATCTTATCTCTAAAAAAAAAAAACAATTAGCTGGGCATGATGGTGCACACCTGTAGTCCCAGCTATTTGGGAGGCCTGAGGCGGGAGGAACACCTGAGCCCAGGAGGTCGAGGCTGTGATGAGCCATGATCATGCCACCACACTCCAGTCTGGGCAACGGAATGAGACCTCAACTCAAAAAAAAAAAAAAAAAAAAAAGTTCTCCATCATTGGAGGTAATCAGGTATGGCTAGATCTCCTTGCAGCTGGGATTTCATCCTCAGTTAGGGCTCCCAGCAGATGACTTCCAAAGGCCTCACTGACTCTCAGAGGAGGCATTCACTCACCTGTATAGTAGACATTTTCATCCCAGCCCCTCTTCCTCCAGGCAGCATTTCGAGTCTCCTCCCGAGACTGCAGGTCTTTATAGGCTGTGGGAATGGCATAGGCTCATTCCTTAGGCACAGAGGATCCAAACCCTTACCCAGCATAGGGCCCTCTTCCCATTGCTCCAAGCCCACCCTGCTGTCGCTTCCTCCCTAGGTGCTTCCCTTGGACTGTTAGCAAACAAGGCCTGCTTTGACAGTTCTTCCAATAAGCACATATACTAACAACTCCTACATTTTGATTTTCAGTCCCACACTCTCCTAGGGGCTCCAGACTCGTCTATCCAGTGCCCACCTGACATCTCTTCTTGGATGTGTAGCATCTTAAATGTAACACTTCCAAGAGCCAACACTCCCTACCCCTCCTCCCCTAGACCTCCCAGGCTCTGTAAATGAGACTTAGCTGCTCAAACAGGAGCCTGGCGCTCTTGAGGAATCCCTTCTCCCTCCCTTGCCCCACACAGACATTCATCCACAAGTCCCACTGGACTACCTCTAGACTAATCAATCTGTGGCTTTTCAGCATCCTACCACCACTGCCTCAGGCCAGGCTTACCCCTCCCACCTGAACTGTTATAACTGCGTCCTGATACCCTGCTTTCTCTACCGCTCCCCTACCATACACTCTTGGCAAAGCACACAGCAGCCAGAGGAGTATACTAGAGCATGAATCAGATCATACTGCTGCTGCTTGAAATACCGAGGCAGCATCCCACTATATTTGCAATAGATCCCAACTCATCCTCAGCGTGACCTGGCCCTCGTCTCCCTCTCCTATCCCATCTCTTACACTTTTCCCCACTCATTCCACATCAATCTCCTTGCCATGCCTCAAAATCCTGAAGGTCTTTCTCTACTGTAGGGCATTTGTATGTACTGTTCCATCCACTTGGAATGCTTTTCTTCAAATTTGCAGCTGGATCCTTCTCATCTTTTAGCTCTGGGTTTACATTTTATCCCCTCGGAGAGGCATTTGTCTATCCAAGCCAACGTAGATTCTGCCACATTTTTCTCTATCTCCCTGCCTTTTTTCTACAAATGTTATTTGTGATAATCTGAAATTAATCTTTGTCTTTGTCTTTTTTTTTGAGTTGAAGTCTCACTCTGTCGCCCAGACTGGAGTGCAGTGGCCGCTCCCGGCCACCACAGCCTCGACCTGCTGGGCTCCAGCAATTCTTCCGCTCAGCCTTCCAAGTAGCTGGAACTATAGGCACGCGCTACCACGCCCAGCTAATTTTCTGACTTACAGCAGAGATGAGGTCTCGCCAAGTTGCCCAGACGGGTCTCAAACCCGCGGGCTCAGGCAATCCACTCACCTCAGCCTCCCAAAGCACGGGATTACAGGCTGAGCCACGGAGCCCGGCCTAATCTTTGTCTTATGAGTTTGCATCTGAGGTAGTATCTTCTTTTGCTGGAATGTAAGTTCCATGAGGGCACTAATGTATGCCTGTTGTTTACAAAGAGTGGCAATGGAAAAAGGGAACTAACAGAGGCTCCTGGGAGGTCCCCAACCTACCCCAGAGATGATGTACAACGTAGAGCTCGCCTATCTGCGAGAAGAAGCCGCCCACTGCCTCCTGGTTCTCCTGCCGGTATTTGATGGCCCGAGCCCTGGAGATGGCAGAAGACTATGGGGCAGAAGCCAGGGCTGGTGCAAAGGGTTCCCTGGGGTGTGTGTACTGCAGCTGATTCCTTGGCCACACCTCACAGGAAGATCCTGAGGCAGGGCCCACACTCTCAGACATGATAGGAAAGGGGCAATGGCTGGGTGTTCTGCCAAGGGAGGCCTCACGGTCCCCAGGAGAGCCTTGCCTCCTGCTTGGATCCTTCTCCCAGATCTGTGAGGGGCAGAGGATGCTGAGCTTCCTGTGATATGGCCCGGGGAAAGGTGGCCCCCCAGGGGCCTTCATGGGGCCGGTGAGCAGCATTCCCCCACCCTAGCCCTGGTGCTGCCACTCACCAGTTGTTCCCCCACTCAATCATGGTTCCTGGCTGAAAGAGAAACAGAGAAAGGGTGGAAATGAGCCCCCACCTCAGACTCCTAGCATCACAGCTGGGCAGGGAGGGAAAACTGTCCCATCTCCTCAGTTCCAGGGGCTGCCACGCCTCATCCGTCAGCCCTGTCTCACGCCTCAGATGCATGTGAACACATGTGCGTTACATACCTCTGCTCTAAGCCCATGGGGAGGGAGAGGCCAGAGACTCCAGCTTAGGTGTTGGGCACAGGATCCACCCACCTTGGGGCAGTTGCAAAACAGCACTGCAGCAGGGAAGTAGAGAGGCAAGAGGGGATCCGTTGGAGGGAGGCACCTTGAGCTTGTATGTCCTCAGCTCATAGATGTTGGGGCCTGCTCTGGGTTGCGGCTCGTTCCAGAAGCTGAACTCAAGGAGCAACTGGTTTCTCCTGGACAGTAGCATCTGGCTCCGCTCCTTCCGGAACTCCAGGTATTCCTGTGGGTGTGGTGATATGGGTACAGCTACAGAGGGCACCCTCCACCCTGACAATATGCTCCAGGGGTGGTGGAGGAATGTCCGGCACAGGTTTGGGCTAGGACAAACATGCAGAGAGGTGTACCCAGTAGACACTGACATACCTTGTTGTTTTTGAGCTTGTTCATGCAGTCCATGAGGGCTGGGTAGCCACCGGAGAATCGCCACAGGTGCACTGTTGGGGGTGAGAGGCGCAGGTCAGAGGCCTGCTGGGTCCCCCAGCAGATGACTTCCCCAAGGCCGTTTAAGTATATATGTGGTAGGGTGAAGGGTGAGGGTGGGCTTAGCTAGGTTCCCTCTCTGAGTTCCCTATACCTTGGTGGGGGGTGGCATGGGGTAGGTGATGACACAAGTCCAGGAGATCTGGGTTTGGACTTCCACTCTGCCAAATGGCCTTTGACCCCTCTGGGCCTCAGTGTCCTAATTTTGAAAGTGGGAATAATGCTCCCACCCAACCAACCTTAGACAGCAACAAGAGGGTCAAATGTGTACCCTAGGAGCAGCAGCATGCTAAAGATGGCCACCAGGCCTTGAGAGACAGACTGGACAAAAGGATGGGGCAGAGATGATGGGCTGATATGGAACACTCCAAGACAGTGAACTGAAAAAAAGAAACCAAACAATAGAACAGCATGTGTGCAATGCCACCACATCAACTTAGAGGGTGAGGACACACCAGGGACGATGGTCCATACATCTATATATCAACCTTTTGATGGAGACCCAACAGATTGTGACAGCAGATGCCCCTGGGACACAGAATTGTGTCCCTGGTTCCAGGGAGAAGAGAAGCTTACTTTTCTCTGAAAATTCTTTGTATTCTTATAATTCATTTTTAATTTTTTTATTTTATTTTTTTGAGTTGGAGTCTCACTCTGTCACCCAGACTGGAGTGCAGTAGTATGCTCCCAGCCACCGCAGCCTCGACCTGCTGGGCTCCGGTGATCCTTTCTCTTCAGCCTTCCAAGTAGCTGGAACTACAGGCACACACTACCACGCCTGGCTAATTTTTGATTTATCGTAGAGACGAGGTCTTGCCAAGTTGCCCAGGTGGGTCTTGAACCCGTGGGCTTAGGCAATTCACTTGCCTCGGCCTCCCAAAGTGCTGGGATTACAGACTAAGCCACTGAGCCCAGACTCATTTTTTATTTTTTAGAGACAGGGTTTTGCTCTGTCACCAAGGCTAGAGTGCAGTGGTGTGTCCATGACTCACTATAACCTCAAACTCCTGGACTCAAGCAATCTTCTTGCCTCAGCCTCCCAAGTAGCTGGGATTATAAGCATGCACCACCACACTCACTAATTTTTAAAAAAATTTTAGTCCAGGTGTAATGTGACTCAAACCTGTAATCCCAGTACTTTGGGAGGCCAAGGCAAGAGGATTGCCTGAGCTCAGGGGTTCAAGTCCAGCCTGAACAGCTTGGCGAGACCTTATCTCTACAATGAGTGAAAAAATTACTCAGGTGTAGTAGTGCACGCCTGTAGTTCCAGCAATTTGGAAGGCTGAGACGAAAGAATCACCTGAGCCCAGCAGGTTGATGCTGGGATAGCCATGAGCATGCCACTGTGCTTCAGCCTGGGCAATGGAGTGAGCCTCTGACTCAAAAACAAAAAAATTTTTTTTAATCAGAAAAATAAGCTGGGTGTGATGTGTACCTATAGTTCCAGCTACTCAGAAGGCTGAGAAAGAACTGCCTGAGCCCAGGTAGTCAAAGCATGGTGAGCTATTATCATGCCATTGCACTCCAGTTTGGGTGACAGAGTAAGACTCCAACTTAAAAAAAAAAAAAAGATAGACATATAGATAGATTTTTTTTTTGAGTTGGAGTCTCTCACTCTGTCGCCCAGACTGGAGTGCAGTGGCATGCTCTTGGTCACTGCAGCCTTGGCCTGCTGGGCTCAGGTAATCCTTCCACCTCAGCCTTCCAAGTAACTAGAACTATAGGCATGTGCCACCATGCCCGGCTAATTTATGATTTATTGTAGAGACGAGGTCTCACCAAGCTGCCCAGGCAGGTCTCAAACCCGCGGGCTCAAGCAATCCTCTCATCTCGGCCTCCCAAAGTGCTGGGATTATAGGTGTGAGCCCCCGCGCCTGGCCTCAGAATTTTTTTTAAGTCATATTCTCTGTACTGGGTTAAATAGTGTCCCCTCAAAATTCATGCCCACCCAGGACTTCAGAAAGTGACCTTATTTAGGAATGGCGTTTTTGTAGATATAATCAAGAGATTATACTGAGTGGACCATAAGTCTACTGACTAGTAAGTATCCTTGTTTGAAGAGGGGCATTTGGACACAGAAAGGAGAAGACAGACACATGGAGAGAACACCATGTGACTAAATATGCAAACAGTGGAGTGATATGCCATGAGCCCAGGAACCCTGAGGGTTCCCAGCACCACCAGAAGCTGGAAGAGGCAAAGCAAGTGTCTCCCTAAGACAAGAGCTTAGGAGGAAGCACAGCCCCAGCAACACCTGGATTTCTAACTTCTGGCCTCCAGAACTGCAAGATAATACATTTCTGTTGTTCTAAGTCACCTGGTTTGTGATATTTTGTTATGGCAGCCCTTGAAAACGAATCCACCTCCCAATAACAAGGCAGCCTAATTAATTGTGAAGAAGAAAGAAAACAGTTTACCATCCTGGGAGCATGGCTTGGCCTGCCAGGGGAGGATGGTCCCCAAAGGGTCACGTAGACAGGCTATAGCTGAGGGCTGCTGGCTGACCAGTGGTTTGGAAGCTCAGACTCAGTTACTTCCCATGCCCAGCCTGTGCCTCACCAGCTTTTTTACTCCGTGTCTTGATTTTCCCATCTGCAAAGTGGCCTTTCCCTGTTGTTTAAAGACCTTTTTCCCAAAGAAAATAGCAAAAGTACTGTATGGATGGAAATCTGCGAAAACTAGCAATGCTGACCTGTGGAAAAGGGACTCACAGCCGGGCTCGGTGCTCAGCCTGTAATCCCGTGCTTTGGAAGGCTGAGGTGAATGGACTGCCTGAGCCCGCGGGTTCGAGACCCACCTGGGTAACTTGGTGAGACCTCATCCCTACAATAAATCAAAAAATTAGCCGGGTGTGGTAGTGCGCGCCTGTAGTTCCAGCTACTTGGAAGGCTGAGGCGGAAGGATCGCTGGAGCCCTGCAGGTCGAGGCTGTGGTGACCGGGAGTGGCCACTGCACTCCAGTCTGGGCGACAGAGTGAGACTCCAACTCAAAAAAA